CAGGTCGGGCGAAAGGTTCTGGAGAAGCACCTCACAACAAGAAGCCAGCCCTTCGTGTACGATGCAACCTTCGCCCTGCGTAAAGGCGTTGGCCTAAAGGTGGCGTTATTGTTGTGTAGGATGGCCTTCACCAAGCCACCATTCAACATGGTCCCCCACCTGCACCTCCACTGCGTCACGCTCCCGCTCACCTGCAGCTGGCTGCGAGGCCTGGGCCTCACTTCCTTCGCCGCGGCTCCCGTCATCGACGTCCGCCGCCGTCTGCGCAACGACGCCAAGAGGGACTGACTAACGCGTGGGCCAAACACCAAACCATCAACCAACCACCTGCAGCGAACCGTTCAAGCTGTACCACACCAATGGCCCTTCTCCCAGTGAACGCGACCAGCACAAGCTCGAGTTTACTTCAAGCTTATCTTCTTTTCTTTTTTCAATTCAAGAGAAACAAAACGAAAAAGGAGGGATGGAGGCGGCTGAGGATCTGGCGGACGGCTTGGCACGGCTGCGGCTCAGCAAGCAAGAAGCGGGCGACACCAATAGAAAGGCATACACCAGAAAGAGCAGGAAACGAGACGCGGAAAAGAGCAATAATCTCTACAAATTCCGTCAAGAATATGAGCGCAGGTTGGCTGCCGCGTTCGGCAAGGGCTCCAGTGAAGAGATCCTAGTCACCAAATTCAACATCCCCATCCACAGGTACCTGTTTTATTTCTTTATATTTAATAATAAAAGTAATAATAAGAGTAATAACTATTTATCCCGTTTGCCAGGCGGGACATACGACTGCTGCAGCCCGAGGAGTGGCTCAACGACGAGGTCATCAACTACTACATGAACCTCCTGCAGGAGCACTGCGATCGTCGATACAACGAGTGGCAGGCTTCCAAGACTGCACCCTCGCCGTCCCCATCGCCACAGCCAACAACAGCAAACAAGGTGTGCGTGTGCAGCGGTGCGTGTGCGTGTGCGGTTTTTGACTGACTGCCCGTACCGTGCGCACCAGACAGTGTCACACAGGCCCAGGCGCAAGGCCAAGACAAAAGCCCAACAGCGAATGCGCATACAACAGCAATCCGCGCGAACCAAGAAGAGCGTAGCAGGTACCCACAACCACGATCGAGACCAACATCACGAAGGCGACGACGACGACGACAACGACAAAGCAGAAGAGAAGCGAGAGGAAGAGAAGAAGGCGGAGACGGAGGTGAAGGAGACGGAGGAGAGGCCGCTTCGATGCCACTTCTTCAACACGTTCTTCTACCCGCTGCTGGCGAAGGGCGGCCACGCGCGGGTGGCGCGCTGGACCCGCCGCGTGGACCTGATGGCGATGGACCTCGTCGTCGTGCCGGTCCACACCCACGGCATCCACTGGACGCTGGCCACCGCCGCGCCCGCCGCCGGCACCATCGCCCACTACGACTCCATCCACCAGCCCAACCCGACCTGCTTCGACCGACTTCGCGCCTACTTCCTCCAAGAAGAGAAAGAGAAGAGAGAAGCGAAGAAGAAAGAGAAAAGCGAAGAGAAGAAGAAAGAAGAGCGACAAGACGGTGGCGATGATGGTGAGGAAGGCGATGATGGTGAAGAGGAGGAGGAGGAGAGGAGGTGGTGTATGGGGAACCGGGCGGAGGAGTGCCCGAGGCAGACGAACGGCTCGGACTGCGGGGTGTTCGCGTGCATGATCGCGCGATCGTGCGCGCTCGGGCTGCCGGTGTCGCGCGTCCACCAGCGCGACATGCCGCACTACCGCCGGCTGATGGCCCTCGAGATCCTCAACGGCGCCATCATCCCTTCTCCTCCCTCATCACCGCCATCCTCACCACGACCAACGGCCAACGTTGACATCGGGACATCATCATCATCATCATGACCGGTCCGTCATCATGGCGTAGTGTCCGTCGTGATGAGCGGAGAAAACGGATGAAGGTGGTGTGTACGTAGGGCAAGACCCCATAGCAGTTGAAAAAAAGAATACAGACCTCTGGTCGACATACACCAGCGCACTCAGTAGTGTTGGAAGCGTTTCTGGATCTGAGGTGTGTGTGAGAGAGAGAGTCGCGCAGCACAGTGTGAGAAGAGGAGAAGTAAAGGTAGAGCACAGCTTGACAGGGAGAAGAAGAAGAAGACTCGAACGAACCTCGGCGCAGTGCTTTTTGATTTCCTTTCGCCTCCGCTTGGTCTCCTCCATCTCCAAACGCCGCTCGGCTGCCCGCGCGTCGATGTCTGCTCGATACCTGGCGAACGGAGACAAAATGGAGACCATTTGAGTACCGGCAAGGCCAGGACAACACGACACACGCACGCTTACATAAAGCGCAAGTACTTTTGTTCCCAGAAGTCGTCGGGCTCGCAGAAGTAGTGGTCGTAGGGCTTCTCGTAGGTGAGCTTCTCCTTCTCTGTCGCGGAGCCGTCTTCGCCCGGCTTGAGTCGTCTGTCCTTCCACCACACGCCGTCGAATACCGAGCCGTCGATGAATCTGTCCGTCGTCGATGCGAATCGAAGAGCAACAGAGACGTTCAGACCCAGACGCACGACACGACACGACCAACGACACGACACGATCTGCAAAACATCAGGCTGCCCTTACCGCATGACGCCTCGGCCATGACGCAGGCCCAGGTCCCACTCGCCCTCGTACGTGGTACCATCGCTCTGCGCATCGCATATTGTGTCTCATCAGCACACCTACACGCATGCGGAGGAGGCGGGCGTGGTGGCTTACCCATAGGTAACTGCCGACGCCGTGCTTCTTGCCGTGCTTCCACTGGCCTTTGTATCGTCGCCCGTCTAATGGGAGCAGTGTTAGGACAGGCTCGGCACCGGAGGAGTGCGCGCGACGTCGCGTGCGTGGGTCGTGGCAATGGTGTATATTGGGCGGTACCGATCCAGGAGTAGGTGCCCTTGCCGTGCTTTTGGCCGTCCGACCATTCGCCCTCGTACCACGACGAGTCGCCCCAGCGCTTCATGCCCCATCCGTCCTGATTACCATTTTTCCACATTCCCTGTGTGACGCAGATAGGTTAGAGCGTGTCGTGTGTCGTGTGTCGTGTGTCGTGTGTCGTGTGTCGTGTGTCGTGTGTCGTGTCGCTCGAACTGTGGAGAGGAGGAAACGACAAAGTGACGAAGGGAAGTGGGGGTTATGAACCATGTAGAGACTGCCGGATGGCCACCGATAGATTCCCCAGCCCTCCTGGTGCCCGTCCCTCCATTCGCCCGTGTACGTGCTCCGCTGAGGAAGTATAGACAAAGCATCGTGTCAGATAGGAATACCATCACAAACAACTTAGGCGGGTCGCGTATGTTGTGTGTTGTGTATGTGTGTGTGTGTGATGCGAGAATAAATGACGCTTACGTTTGGCCACACGTAGATTCCCCTGTCCGCTGCGCTTGCCTTCGACCCAGTCCCCCTTGTACTCGCTTCCATCAGCCCTGGAGCACCACACATCACTGAGTCAAAACCAGTTTCCACACACCACACACCACACACCACACACCACACACCACACACCACACACACAGTCACTTTAGCAAACACGTCATCGCCCGCACACACATACCAGGTGTACTTTCCGACGCCGTGCTCCCAGCCGTCCTTCCACATGCCCTCGTAGCTGTCGTACTCGACAATGCTGGTCTTGGGCTCCTTCGTCCGGGGAGAAGAGGAGGCGGGGTGGGGCGCGCTCCTGGACCCGCCGCTCTCCTCGCCGCTGCCGCCCTGACCGGCGTCGGCGTCGCTGGTATCACCGCCGGCGCCCTCCCCGCCATCGCCGGCCGTCGCGTTGGGCAGGGACGACGCGGCCGCTATGTCCTGCTCGCCACCCTGCGGCTTGGTGTCGACCACGATTGGCCAGAACTTGATGCCGTAGCCGTGCTCCTTCCCCTCTGCAACCAACCAACCAAACCGAATCGATTAGTCTCCTGCGTGTGTGCGGTGGTGCGGGCCTGTGTGCGCACCTTTCCACTCGCCGTCGTATCGAGCACCGGAGGCGAGCCGCGCGCTGCCAACGCCGCCCGGAGGCTTCTCGGCGTCCAATTTGAGCACTCGCTGCACAGCGCGCGACAAAGAGCAAAACAAATGAAAGTGAGTGAGTGAGAACGGCACAGGGGAGGAGGAGTGGCCTCTGAAGCTGAAGAGAACTGCGGCCGTACGCTTTGGGAGAGGTAGAGCCACTTCCAGTCGCGCTCGACGATGACGGGCTTGCGGGGCTGGGCGGGCGGGATGCAGCGCTTGGCCACGAGCACCTGCAGGAGACCCTCGTCGTTCCCCAACACGGACCACCGCGAGCACACCAACCGAGCCGTGCACACCTTGGATGGCGGGGCACCACCACCATGTCAATACGCTACTATGTGTGTTGTCGTTGTCGCTACCAACACGACCGCACACGCGCACCGCAACGTAAACACGACATGACCAATGATGACTGTACCTCTTTCATCTCGAGGAACGAGAAGGCGTGGAGGGCCAGCTCCTCGGGAAGACAGGCAAAGGGGGACACGCCAACCGTCTGGGTGGGCGAAGAAGATAGCAAGTGTGAGCAACAATCGAGTAGCGCAGGTACATCTTCAGGATTTAACGAAGATGGAAGGATGATGACGTTACGGTCATATCGCGCAGCTGGGATCGTAGCTGATCGGCCTCCTCCTGGTACTTGGCCGCGGTGGCCTGAAGGCTCTCCTTCTCCTCCACGAGTCGGCGCTGCATCGCAAATTGGACTTTCAATTTCTCCTGTAGATCGTGGAGCGCTTTGTGCAGTAGCGCGGCCGGTTTCTCGTCTCCTGGCTCAGCTTCATAACCGCCCCTTCCTCCATTTCTGCTGTCTCCCACGATGTTCACCTCCAAACATCGAACGATCCCTTCGATTTCCGCCGCCAGACATGCAGCCTCGTGAGGAGGCGCAGATGCCATGGCCGTCCGTCTGGGTTCTTTCTCTTTGAAAGATGGAGGGACAAAATATGATTTAATTATTGTTTTATCTATTTGGAATATTATTCACTAAAAGAAGTCGGGCGAGCACAAGTCGAACCACCATGACGCGCACGGCAGCAGCAGGCAGCGGCGCGGGAGGCGCTGACGCTTCACCGCGACCGTTCTCCGACTCACTCATGACCACCCTGGATATGATCTCGCCCGCCTTCTCCGTCCTCGCACTGCCCTGTTCGCCCCCCTTCTCTTTTCTGATTATCAACTGTCCACTCTCCAACTGACCCAGCGCGCGCACCTCGTGCGGCCCCGCTGCGTGCAGTGCTGATGGCCTACAGCAATGGATGGAATGCGTGGGTGCGGGCCGTCAACCGGCCGCCGGCACCGCCGTCGGTGTCGGCCTGGGACCGCGTGGTGGGCTCGCCCGTCAAGACCTGGAAGGCACGAGGGAGCTGTGTCCACCACTTCCCGACACTCAAATTGCGTGCTAACACGAAATACACGCAACACACCACACGACACAACACATTCACACCACACAACACACAACACACAACACACAACGCGCGCATGTACGCAGGAAGAGGCCTGGCGCACCAGCCGAAACTGGACGCGGTTTGGTCTTCTCATGTACGGCACGCCACTTTTTCTTTATCGCCGGCCACTCGAGTGTGATGGGCTGGCCTAACACCTGTTTGGTTACCGTCATCCAGGGCCACCGACCTGTTGGAGATTTGCGCCGTTAACTACGCAGGCGCCCTCCTGGGCGTTAGCGTCGACAGTACCCACCACTGCTTCGTTGAGTGTTGTTTATGATTTATTGTAATTGTTTGCTGATTGGTGCTGTGGTGACAGCGTTCCACATGACGCCGGCTCAGCTGCAGCTGCGCGACCCCGAATCGGACATCAGCCTGACGAGCGCACTGTGGGGCTTCACCGGGGCCGCCGTCATCGGTTTCCCGCTCTCCATCCTCGGCTGGCAGCTCCACACCGACACCTGGTACTCCCGCCGCCGTGCGCATGAATCTTGTACGCTGAGAGCTGGTCATGACCGACTGACGGGCGCTCTTCAATCGGGTGTGGTGCAGGAGGGGCTGGGGCAGCCTGCTGCCCACCTCGGCCCTCGGGAGGCAGCACTGGCTCGCCCTGCCGGCCAAGATCGTGGATGTCGTGGTCTTCAACGTACTTTTGTACGTCGCAACGCCAACGCCAATGCAAATGGCAACGCGACGAGGTGTCGCTGACAGTGAACGTCATGACTGACTGACGGTGGTGCGCGGATGTAGCGTGCGTCTGGTTGAAGCGGTGCGAGGGAAGGTGGGCATCGTTCCGCAGCCGCTGGGATGGCTCACCAGCGACGCCGAAAACAACAGAGAAGATCCGGCCCTCTACGACGTACACGCAACACGCAACACCCGACACACACGACACACGACACACGACGCACGCGTTGATTTTTTCAAACGTGAAATCCGTGTGTAGGAGGAGCGCGAAGAACGGTCCACCGCCAGAGTGATCTTGGATCGCGCCCGGCTATTTGCCATCAGCTCGGCCGCGGGCTCGGCCTGCAGCCTCGTGCTGGGTAAGCCGCGCCACTGGGTGGGTGGGGGTTAGGGCGCGTTTTGGCTGAGGCTTTAGGCGGCGGTGGTGTGCAGTGGGCCTGCAGGTGCCGGCGATCATCGTGTGGAACCGCATGCTGGCCGAGCCGGGCCGCTTCGCGTCGGTGGTGGCCTGCGTGCGGCACATCTGGGCGAGCGAGGGCCTTGCCGGCTTCTACCGCGACCTGCCCCTCTTCGCCCTCAACCTCATCAACATCGCATAAGCCCAACAACAATGATTTATGCAACATAGCCCACTACATCAGCTCCACAGCACTCAGTAACCACCTGCAGCACACAGTGGGGGGCGGGGGAATCATACAAGTTAGTGTGCTGTGTGCCGTGTGTCGTGTGGTGCGTGTCGTGCGTCGTGTTGCGTGTGCCGTCACGTACCCTGGTCACCGAAGCGCGCGAGGATCTGGGCGTTGTTGGGGTTGATGTCGCCGACGAGCTGCGGGAACTTGCTGACCAGCACGCCCCACTGGTACTCGGCGAACAGGGCGTTGGCCAGCTGGTTCGGGTGGAAGCCGTCGACGGGCTCGATGAGCTGCCAGGTCTCGCCGCCGGCCTTGTTCCACTGCTCGATCACGGCCTTCAGCGGCGGCTCGAAGTAGTACATATCGAAGTTCTTGAACGTGTGGTTGGCAATAATCTACACGCGCCCAGACCAGAGACGATCAGCACGTGTCGTGCGTGTCGTGCGTGCGTCGTGTGTGCGGTTGAGGGGGGAACCTGAGAGTAGACTTGGTTGAGCTCCTCGGCCCTGGCGGTGGTGGCGTTCCTCCAGTAGGCGTTGCTGTTCATCCAGCCGAAGCAGGGCGAGGTCTGCAGGCAGTTCATGAAGTCGTAGTAGTGCGAGTAGGTGACGTCACCGTGCAACAGGCCTGCATGCGTGCCACACACGACACACGCGACACGAGACACATGACACACGGTCAGTTTCTGGACACGTAGTGTAACGTGTGCGGCGAGGTGGGCACACGACGAACCGAGAGGGTGCAGGCGGTTGGCGAGGGCATCGTAGAGCACGCGACCGTCGACGAGGCCGGTGAACACGACGTGGCTGCCCGCGGGCAGCACGGTGTCCAGGTGGTTGAGCGCTGCAGGAGGCGAATATCAGAATCATCGTCGCACACGCCACGACACACACGACACACAGAGAGAAACTCGCCGTACCGCGCATCACATTGGCGTAGAACTGGGGCGGGGTCGTCATGGAGCCCGTGCCGTAGTGGCCATTGCACACATCTGCACCGACCACGGAGGGACAAGAGCGTGAGCACCTCGTACAGCGAAAGCGGCAAAGAGCGAAAAGCGGGAAAGAACGACGGCGGGCATTTAATGTACCGTTGCCGATGAGGGCATAGTTGAGGATGAGCGGGTGATCGGTGTTCTGGTTCCTGCCCAGGGTGAACATGATCTCGTCGGCCATCGCGCCCGTGCGCGCGCCGTTCACGCCGATGTTCTGGAAATCTGCGCGCAAGACACGACACACACGACACGAGTTAGGCCCTGCGCGGCAGGCTCGCAGATTAACGATCTCTCAGTTGCGCTGCTCGAGAGGCGGTACCGCGGTGCATGCACAGGTTGCGCTGCCTCATCTTCTGGTAGATGGAGGTCATGGGTCCCTGAGGCGTTCCAGGCCACGTCAGGTTCATGTAACCAGTCGCTGTCGACATCTGTGCCCACACACACGCCACACACGCCAGCCGTGAGCGCATAGTTTGTGTCGACACATCACAGTGGTGTACGTGCCATGGGCCAATCGAACTCGTCCATCAGAATGTCGAGCATGTTGTGGTAGGTGTTGTCCTGGATCAGGCTCGCCGTCACGTACTCGGGCGGGATGTGGAAATGGGCGGCTGCGCGCGGGGATTGGGCGGACGCCACGTCAGCAAGGTGTTGTTGCGGTATGCAAGGAATGTGCGCATGTTGGGGAGGGAGACGGTACTGGCCGAGTCACCGAGGACGGCGAGGCCGTACTGCTTGGTGCCCGCGCAGTAGAGGTCTTCGTACGAGCGGCCCTGGGGGTCGGTGCCCGAGATGCCGTTGCAGTTGTGATCGAACTCCGGCTGGTGTGGGCAAAAAGTGTGAGTGCTATCGCAAACAACACCACACACGCACACGCACATACGACCGCACACGCAGGATGGCACACAAAACGATCAAAACGCGGTGCTCGCTAGAGAATGAAGACGTACGCCGCGGTTGGTCTTCGAGCGACCGGGGTAGATGTCGGAGGCAAAGTCGTTGCAGTCCTTGCCGCGCCAGAACGTGCCCCTCAGCGTCTGCGTCAACGCTGCACACTCCAAGCGTAAGCCAACCCGTGTCGGCCGCGTGTGGTGTGGGCGGCGTGTGCGGTCGTTGCAGGCGTAGCGAGCATGTACCTCCGAACTTATCGCTGTCGAGATCGTACCACGGGCCGTGGCTGTTGACGAGCTTGGTGATGTAGTCGACGATCCACTGCCACGGCGACTCGCCCACGTCGCGCTTGTCGTTGTTGTTCTTGTTCAGCTTGATCATGTCGACCATCTTGAGCAGCGACATGGTCTTCCACGTCGACAGAATCTTCTCGCGCTCGGCGGCCGAGGGCGGCGTGAAGGTGCCGCTCTTGGGGAACAGGCGGCAGGTGGCGTTCCAGCACAGCCCGATCTTCAAGCACACATCGTCAGCCTTGTATCGGTTCTCTGTGCGTCGTGTGCGATGGTGCGTGTGTACGCGCGTGTTAGAGTTGATGCGTGCGCACGCACAGGCATAAGGCAGGCAAAGTGGTACCGAGCATAGAGATGATGGTGGCGCCGTAGAGCGCGATGGTCTCGTCGCACGTGGTGCGCAGCAGTCCGGCGGGCAGAAGCTGACACACCTTCTCGACGGTCTGCGTCACGGTCTCGTTGCGCACCTCGCCCAACTGCTCAATGATTCCCACGACTTACGGACATGTGGGAAAAACGAAGTGCACGTATTAAATTGTGAATATTGCGAACAAAATTAATTGGTGCACAAAAATATGTATAAAACTAAATATTTAAATAAGTAGATTAAAAAGACCGGAGGCGGAAAGAACGAAAGCGACGGGGGGGGATGGAGGGTACTGAGGGTGCATCCGACGCAGGTGCCACCGCTCTCCTTTCCCTTGATTCCGAAGAGCTGGGCCAGCGGAAGATCGGCAAACGATGCGGGCTTCTTGGCCTCGGCCGGAGCCAGGGCCAAAGCGAGGCACACGAGCACCGCCACACCCACGAACGCGAGGTGCGCACGAACGGACCGCGACATCGTCTTCTTCTCTGTGCGACTAGATAAAGAACAATGAAACTGTCCGGAAAAGTGGACCCGACACTGTATTACGGAGAATATAACCTGGCCTATCCGACCCGTGCGAAATCGTCGGCGAGCTATCCCGAAAAACTTCGCACCACCAAGCAAATCGGCGAGCCACCACCGTGTCTGTCAAAAGGGCGCAGTTAAAAGGAAGATAAAGAAAATATCGATGAAAATACAAGATAAATAAGAAATAATAATTAGCTGGAGATTTGTTTGGTAGCCAGAGATGCGCGGGAGGGCTGGTGTTGTGCTTCAGGGTGCTGCCTGCCGTCGCCGTCACATCCATCAATTATCCGCCACAGCAGCCACTCCCTCTCGTCTCTTCCGTTGCATCTCCTCCTCGCCCACGATGCGCGCCAAGGCCGTTGATGTTCTCTCTCCCGACAACCCAAGGTAATCATTGACACTCTTATTTTAATTAGAATAATAATCGTTGTAAGATGAAAAGAATAACAATAGTATTAAATACTATATATATAATTTCAATTATTCATTCTTAAATTTCTTTCACACCAGTGGTCTGCCGTACCGCCTGTTGTTGACGTGCGAGCATGCGTCGCAGCTGATGCCGTCACCCTGGCGCTGGCCCGACGAGGATAGACGCCTCCTCAACACCCACTGGGCGCTCGACCTGGGCTCCGAAGGTCTGTGCTCCCTCAACGCGTGCGTGTGCTTGTGCGTGTGCGGTGCGCGTGTGTGGTTCGTGCGGTGTGCGTGCGTGCGTGTTGCTAACACAGTTGTGCTGTGGCGGCCGCTGACTCATGCAGAGCTTACACGAGAGTTGTCTGCGGCGGTCGCAGCGCCGGCGGTCATCGCGCAATTCAGTCGGCTGCTGGTGGACGCCAACCGACCGCTCGATTCGCCCACACTCTTCCGCGACGCGGCCGACGGCCAGCCCGTCCACCTCAACCAAGGCACGCACCCGCCACACCCATCGCGTCAGCGCTGACGTGTGCAACCACCTTAAATAACAATGACCACAACAACCTTGACTGCAGGGCTGTCGGAGCAGGAGAAGGAGGACCGCCTCCAGGCGTGCTACTACCCCTACCACCGCGCGCTGGCCGAGCTGCAGCGGAAGGTGATGCCGGACTTCATCCTCTCGCTCCACAGCTACACCAACAACTACGAGGGACAGCCGCGCGAGGTGGAGGTGGGCGTGCTGTACGACGAGGACGAGGACCTGGCCAAGACCATCCGGCAGCAATTCATCGACCAAGGTGCCGTTTCTTTAGTTTGATCGCACGCACGCACCACCGCACACGGACCAATCACTAACGCCGAAGATGTTGGCGGCCGTGTGGTGGTCATCAGGCCGGTATGAGTGCCGCCTGAACGAGCCGTGGTCGGGCAAGGAGGGCTTCATGTACTCGGCCGACCGACACGGTCACTGGGACGAGGACGCCTTCAAAGGTCCCAAGGACCGCACACCAGGTGGCTCTCCTATTTCTCTTTTCTTTTTCTTGATTTTAATTATTATTATTATTATTATTATTATGTCTCATTTGTTTGTTTGCAGGCTGGACGGAGAAGAAGGGGAAGGGCGACATTGCGGTGGTCATGCTGGAAATGAAGAACGACCTGCTGACCGACCGGGCATGGCGCACCCAATTCACGCAGCGACTCATCGACATTCTGCGCAGCGACCCGGTCGTCGCGCTCGTCAAGGCCAAGAAGTCCTCCGCCACTTGATGTTGCAGGTTTCACTTGAAGACGACGAAGACGACGATACTCTATGGTGCGCGACAGTGTGGAATTGGATGTATTTATCGCGTAGCGGAAGAGGAGGGATCAAAGAGGGAGAGGACGGCCTCGTAGGTGAGGAACATGATGGCGGCGTTGGGCACCACGCGAAGCAGGTGCGGCGCCAGGCCGCCGTAGAGGCCCGCCAGGCCCTCGTTGCGCCACACCACGCGCACGCAGTTGACGAACCCGCCGTAGAGCTCCTTGGCGCGCTCCTCGCGCAGCCGCGTGCGCGCCACCTCGTGCGGGTAGGTCAGCACCGACGCGACGAGCTTGGCCGTGCTCGAGATGCCCAGCGTCTCCCACGCGCCGATGGACGAGGCCGCGGCGGACCGGGCGAGCTCGCTGAGCTGCACCAGCTCGGGGTCGGCGTCGTGGTCGAACGGCGCGGCGGCGGTGTGGGCGCGCCGCCGTCGCTGCAGCTCGAGCTGCCAGGCCTCCTCGCACTGTCGCACGCGTCGCTGCTTGATGAGCGACTTGAACTTCTCGTAGAGCATGAACTGGATGGAGGACTCGCTGATGCCCACGTAGCTGGCGCTCATGCCGGCGAAGAAGGCGCGCGGCCCCTCGTGTCGCATCATCGACGTCACGCAGTGCCATGCGCTACGGTACTGCCGCACGCCGGTTCCGGGCGCCACCGAGCCCTTGCCATTGCCCACCTGCAGCTGCAGGCGTGTCTTGACCACCCACACCGGCGACGTCAACGTGATGGTCACGACGCCTGTACAAGAGCACAAGACAGTGTATTTGGCGTTAGTGCGGAAAAGAACACGACACGCAACACGCAACACACAAAGGGAAAGGGTAACGTTACCGGCAGCGACTCCGCCGAGCCAGTTGAGAAGCATGCCGTGCGGGTCGAGCTCGAGTTGCTTGCCGAGCTCGCGCTTGGACCACGAGAAGGTGCCGAAGTAGAGGGCTCGTGCCGGCACGACGCCGACGAGGTGTGGCACCATGCCACGGTAGAGCGCTCGCACTCCGCCCTCGGCGTGAAGGTGGGTCAGGGCTCGCACCGTGCGGGTGCCGAATCGGTGCTGCGTGTTGGCGAGGCCCTCCTTGTTGTAGGTGCCTTGTAGTCGAGTCTTGACGACCTCGAGCGGGCTCGTCAATACGCCACCAACCATCGCCCCGGTACCGCCGGCCACGAAATGCGCCCACGCCGGTGGATGGTGATGTGCAGCTGGCATCTTGACTTGGGCCACCGGTGTGCTTGGCGTTGAAGATGTGGATGAGGTTGACGTTGATGTTGGTGTAGCGGATGTTGAAGTGACGCTCATTTTCGCGAATTTGTAAATTTCGCGATTTGTTTAAGCGAGGGATCGCAATCGATTTACTGGGCCAACCAGAACGATGAGCACAAGCTCAGCTCGTTCAAGATGTTGCACTCTCTTGCGGCAAAGCAGGAGTCTTCTCTCAGAGCGATTGAACCCAACGGTACAAGAATTCCTCGAACCCTTGAGCATTCTATAAATATTTCGCCTCCTATTTTGGTTAACTTTCCGATTTAACTTTTCTTTTTCATTTTCTTTCACATATTTCAAGCAAGACACAGACCACACGTGGTTTCGAAGGACAGCACACGAGGCTGGACCTGTGCTCGCCCTGTGGCCGACCGAGAAGAAGAATAAACGGACGAAAGCGAAAGGGTCCCTCTGTTGAAAGGTACCACTGGCAGCTTCTGAAGGCTATGCAGATCAAGAACGCCATTATTTTCAGTATTTTATTTTTGTTTGTGCGTGCAGATGCAAGGACCCCCACCAGCAGGCCAGCACCAGCCCAAGCTGCTCCTGATCGGAGACTCAGGTACGTGCAACTACTCGTGCTGCAGCACTCTTCTTCTCTTAGCTCTACCACCCTCACCCGCCGTCCTGGGCACCTGAACATGCAGGTGTGGGCAAGACTTGCCTCATCATGCGATTTGCTGATGACAACTTCAGCGCTTCGTTCACCTCTACCATCGGGTACGCCTACATTGCCCCTTGGTGCGTTTGTGGTGCGTGCTCTCACAGAACTGCCACCAGGATCGATTTCAAGCTCAAGTCAATGAAGATAGACGGACAAGAACTGCGGCTGCAAATATGGGACACGGCAGGACAAGGTGCCACTCTCTGCGCGTTCCACCCTTTGCGCGTTAGTGGTGGTGGACTTGAGCCCGGTGCTGATCAACTCCCATTCTCTCTCTCCCTGGCTGGTAGAGCGCTTCCGCACAATCACATCTGGTACACTTGCCTCTGCTTGGCATCTGTGACGTGATGGACCTTGTTCGACCTACAACTGCAAACTCACAACTGCTCCTTGATCTTCTTCTTTACCACACAGCCTACTACAGGGGAGCACACGGCGTGATGCTCGTGTTTGACCTCACATCAGCGCAGTCCTTTACAAGTACCCCATGCACTCCACTGATTCCCACGTTGGACACTCGTTAGTTTGGAACCCTAACCCTCTCATTCTCGTTCTTCATGGTCGCACAGGCGTGCGAAGTTGGATGCGAAACATCACTGAGTACGCAGGCAAAGATATCCTCAAGGTGCTGGTGGGCAACAAATGCGACCTTGCCGAGAAGCGGGTGCGATCCACTCTGTGACCGTAGCGCCGTGAAACAGAGATTTACCTTTGTAATCAACGTAACCCTGCACAGGCGGTGCCGGCAGACAAGTGCGAGGCTCTAGCCAAGGAGTACGACATTCCATACTTCGAGGTCAGCGCCAAAGCAGGCACCAATGTGGAGGTATGCAATCGCTCGGTCGCTCGGCACAAGCACGCACCCTTTGCTCACTCCACCGCCCAACGTTGGCAGGAAGCGTTTGTGAACATTGCGACGCGCATCAAGCGGGAGGTGATCGACGCCCTGCCGGCCTCAGAAGAGCCGGTCTCGGTGGACAAGCCCGTGGGGAGCTCCAAAGACTGGAACAGGGCCATACGCATGCGAGGCGGCTCGGCCACCACCGACGGCAGCTCCTCCGGCAAAGCGACCACGTCCTGCTGCGGCTCCTGACATAAACGCTGCTGATTGCATTGTACGTCCTGCTTGCGGCTTGGTGTTCAGACCCGGAGCTAAAACGGACGCACACAGGAGAGTGTGCGTGCGTGGAGTTTGTGTCCGGTTGTGTAAGTAAATTTACATTTACATTTTTGTTGATTGGAGGTGCGGAATGTGAAGTAGCGCAGTGTGAGAGTGGCGGAGGCTGGGCGGAGTGTCTGGGTGGCCTTGTTGACAGTCAGCCCTAAACTGGGTGATACGCGTAACCCTCTTTCGCGTCGCGGCGACGGCCCACGAGAGCGAGAGTGCTCCCCCAGCAAGAGAAGAGACACTTGCTGTGTGGCCCAAAGGAAGTGGTACAAACTGAGGCTGGCAGCAGTGGAATCTCTGTGGGGCCACTCGAAGTGAAGAGAAAGAACGAAGCGCGATGGCGTCGCGACAGGTAATACAGCTTTCCTTCCTTTAATCGTCCTTCACGCTCTTCACAACGTGTAGCTATCTTTCTGGACGTAAGAGGCTCGGATCAATTACACTCCCAACCCAGGCTCGAACGAGCAAAATCTCCTCCCGATGGGCAATCTTCAGAGATTGGCTTCGGCCCAAATGAGATGAAGAGAAACTCGCCTTTCCTCAACTTTTCTCACCTTACGCGACTTGTGTGGGCTGAGCAGAAGGAGGTGCTCGCCGAGGGCTTCCTGCAGAAACACTCCCCCAACAAAGCACTCGTCTCGCGATGGCAGACGCGGCACTTTGTCCTCACACCCTCCACACTCGCCTACTACAAAAAGCAAAGCGGTACCGCCACCTTGCCCCCCACCCCAAACCAATGTGGTCTGGTCTTCTCACGTCGAATGGCGTGCGTGGGCGGTCCGCAACAGACGCAACGCCCAAGGGCGTGGTCGAGCTGAGCCAGGTCTGCAACGTGGTGCTTAAGACGGCCAGCCGCGCGCTACGAGAGAGCCCAGGACAGGAGACGGGCTCCGGCAGCAGCAGTCCGGGCAAGAAGGCGGTGTTTGAGGTGGTGACGCTGAGCGGCCGCACCTACGTGCTGGCGGCGGACACCATCGACGGCGCGCGACGGTGGGTCGAGGTGCTCCTCTTCACCATCGGCGAGCTCAACAATCGAGCACCGGTCGTCTCTGCGCCCACCTTCCGCACCACCGCCACCACCAAGTCTCCGGGCGATGGAATGCCTGGTATGACACACAACGAACTAGTGCGTGCCGTGCGTGTCATCGCACTCATGCATTCTCTTGTATAGAGAGCGAGGAGCAAGAGAGCGAGAGCAGCAACGCCGCAAAGAGGAGCGCTGCCGAGTGGACGCTGCTGTCGGGCGAGCGATTGCTGACCAAGCAGGAGAACGTGCTCATGTCGCACCACTCGCTGAGCGAAGGCCGCTGGGGCCAGTTGCACATGACCCTCTACCGCTTCATATTCTCCACCAAGGTGCGTGTGCGTGTGCGTGTGCGTGTGCGTGTGCGTGTGCGTGTGCGGTGCGTGCCGAGCGAACTGACGATGATGGGCAGGACCAAACCGATTCGGTGCCGCTGGGGCTGGTCATGCGAGCCGAGCCGGCCAAGCACGAGGAGAGAGGCCTGTCGGGCTACCTGGTTGTTTGCAAGGACTTCCGCACCATCTCGCTCTTCTTCCTCCACCCGGAGGCGCTCGAGACCATGAGCTCGCTCTTCAAGCACGTCCTCTTCCCGCCCAAGATCAGGTACGTGCAAATTCCTCAATGCTTCAACCCGGTGCGTCTTTTCACGCTTGGCTTGTGTGTGTTGTGTGTGTGTATGTGTCACAGGGGCCTGTACGCGTTTCACAACAAGGAGAAGTATTCGCTCCGGTCAGAGGTGGTGGGCTGGCCGCTGTACCAGATCAACCAGGAATACGAACGGCAGCAGCTCGACGACAATGCCTGGCGGGTCACACACTTCAACAAGACCAACAGCTTGGCCCACCTGCCCAACCAGTTCATCGTACCCGCCGCCATTTCCGATGGTTCTCCCTCCCCACTCAATCGATTGAGACGATGGGCAATCCATCACTGACGCTGATTGGCCGTGTTACCATCAACACAGACATGATTGGCCAATTGGGCGATGGGCAACTTAAGTGGCAGCGGTGGGTGATCGCCCTGTGCTGGAGCAACACCAAGTCCATGGCGCGCGGCTGCCTGCTCCGCTGCTCGGAGTTCATGATGGGTCCCGGCAGCGGTGTAGCGACGGCGGCGTCGCTTTTGGAGGGCCGTGAGGCGGGTGGCACGACCAGCAAGCGCATCGCTGCGGGCGGCGGCCCGCAGGGCGGCAAGCAGAGCATGCTGGAGCACGTGCTGACGCTCTATCACGCCGCCGAGGCCCTGCACGTCTACAGCACCACCTCTCTGCGGAAGAAGCTGTTCGTGCTCGGCTCCGAGACGTCGGCCGGCACGACTGAACTCGTGCAAGTTGGTACGACCTCCTCACGCCTGCCGTCTGAACTCAGAGCAGCACAACCTTTGACTGACTGGGCGCGTGTGTGCGGTGTGTGCGGGACAACAGATGCGGGCACGATCTCATTTCACACGACGAAGCTCCTCTCACCCGCGGCGATCGAGAACAGCCTGCAGAAGCTGGCCAACCTCGTGAGCTCGTTCGATACGTCGCGCTTCGAGCGCGCACAACACGACGACACCATCACAAACAGCGGCGGTTGCAGCAGTGCGCCTGCAACCAGCGGCGCGGATAAGGTCACACTGCAGCAGATGAAGACCGCGTGGCGGGAGTCGCTCGACGACACCCAGTGGCTCAAGGGCGTCCGGCTGCTTCTCGAAACCACGTCCGAGATCGTCAACCTGATCATCGACGGAGAGCCAGTTCTCGTTCAGAGCGCCGATGGTGGTGACGCCGTGCCGCAGGTGGTCAGTCTCGCTCAGGTGTGCCTGGACCCGTACTTCCGTACCACGGCCGGCTTCTGCTTCCTGATCGAGAAGGAGTGGATGGCCTGCGGTACGCGTCCCATCTTCAACTTGAGAGACAGGCGCAGCAGCTTCGCCTCAACTCTTTGATTGTTCTTCGTGTGGCGTGTGATGTGTTGACAGCGCACAAGTGGGGCCAGCAGCAGAAGGCCAAGTACCAGCCGAAGCAGTACTCGCACATGTTTGTGCAGTTCATCGACGCAGGTACCTGATTCCCTCCTCGCATTCTCGTCGGCTGACAAGCCTCTGACCTCTCGTGTGCGCCGTGTGTCGCGTCGCGTCGTATGTTGCGTGCAGTGTGGCAATTGTGGGATTCGGCGCCCACTGCGTTTGAGTTCGACTCGTCGCTGCTCCTCTTCCTGCTCGAGTCCGTGTACAGCGCTCGCTTCGGCTCGTTCCTGGTCGACAGACAGCGCGACCGCTTGAAGGGAAAGCTGCTCCTCTCGTCCAACACCATCTCTGTGTGGTCCTACATCGACGCCAACGCGCGCGCGTTCGCTCATGACCGCTACAACCGCCTCGATGCCACCGTCATGATCCCCCTGCTGCCACGACCCGATCAAGTGAAGCTTTGGACTGGTGCGCACACGACACGACACGACACGACGACACGACACGGCACACACCTGTGTACTGAACTTCGATCTGTCGCCCAGACTATTACTTGCGCTGGGCCTGCCACTCGCCACTCGCGCGCTCGACTAAACACCTGCACCTCCTTTCCCCACAAGGTACAAATACAACACATTTCTTGGAATTCCTTTAATGCTGATAGTTTTGTTCTTTAACTCGTTTGTGCGCTGGTAGGCCAACCGGCGCAAGACGAACCGACGACGAGGCTGAGCTTGCGCAACCGCGCCCTCCATTGCGTTCCGTCGATGGTCATGACGCCGGCCTTCGCCAGGCTTGCGTCGCTCGACCTCGCGCACAACTTCATCAGCACGGTCCCGCTCAGCCTCTCCGCGTTGACGGGCCTCGAGTCGCTCGACCTCTCGCACAACCTGATGGCCGGCAGCCTGCCCGCACAGCTGGCCGAAGCGCTGTCACTGCTCACCCAGCTCGTCCACCTCAACCTGGCCCACAACGCGCTGTGCGACCTGTCGGCGCTGCCCTCGCAGCAACTCCAGGCCCTCGAGGAGCTGGACGTGTCGCACAATGGGCTGACCGCCATCCCCGCCCACGTAGTGCACCTCACCCGACTGCGCCGCCTTTCCCTGGCCGGCAACGCCTTCAATGGCGAAGGTACTCAGCACATTGCTTGCGTATTATTTATTTATTTATTATATTCAATTTATTTCATGATTTAGCTTTTGATTTCTAATTGTTGCTGCTGTCCAATGGGCTCACGCAGGCAAGAAAGGTCAGCTGGAGGTGGTCCATTCGCTGACATCGCTCACGTCGCTCAACTTGGCGGAGAACGAGATTGCCTCGCTGTCGCCGCGCTTCTTCAACCTGACCCGCCTCGAGCATCTGGACCTCGCCGGCTGCGGGCTCACCAAGCTCCCGATGGGCATCGGCCACCTGGCCAAGCTTCGCGTCCTGCGCATCTCCAACAATCCCGACCTGCGCGGCTTCCCGAGCGACTTTTGGACCCTATCCTCCTTGGAGGAGCTCTACGCACGGTACGACTCGTACCGCTCGCATGCGACGCATGACACACACACACACACACACACACACACGGAACTGAGTATTTCTTGTGGTGAGCAGGAACTGCCTAGGCTGGGGCGATGCGAGTACGCCGGAAGCGGCCGCCGGAGGCATTTTGCCTCAGCTTCCGCTCAACCTCGCACGACGCAAGCGAGCCACCACCAAATTCCCTGCGTACGCTCTTGCGCTGTTTAGTGTGTGCGTGTGTGTGTGCGTGTGTGTGCGTGTGTGTGACTGACCAAAGTGAACGGCGCTGTGCAGCTCGCCTGACAAGCTCGATGCGATGATGGCGATTCTGCCCGCGCAATTCGGCCAGCTCACGCAGCTCAAGTGCCTCGACCTCTCGCACAACGGCATCTCGGGAATTCCGGCGGTGTGCTTCATGGGCCTGACCCAGCTCGAGAAGCTGTGGCTGGGCGGCAACACGCTCATCTCGCTCGGCGTTGACATCGGCGCCATGTTGTCGCTCCGCGAGCTCCACCTGAGCCACAACCGGCTCACCGCGCTGCCGCCGGAGATCGCCAGCCTGAAGCAGCTCAAGGTGCTCAACGTCGAGGACAACGCGCTGGTCGAGCTGCCGGCCCATCTGAGCACCATCCCGTTCTGAACAAACTGCAAGTCGGCTCACAGAATGGATGTCTGAGGTATGCTGGACCACTCTCCAACTTGTCTTTGTGTGTGTCGGCAAGTCTGACGCACACGCGCCACACACACACACACACACACACACACACACACACACACACCACAACATAGGTCGCCACCGCCAGAGATTGTGGCCATGGGCTCGTCGAGCATCCTGGCGTACCTGGGGCAGCTGCTGAATGGCCAGCAGGCGTGTTACCGCATGAAGCTCATGTTTGTCGGTCAGGAGAACGTTGGGTACATAGATTGTTTTGTGTGCGTGTGCGTGTGCGTGTGCGTGTGCGTTTCGACTGATGAGTCTTTGTTTGCTCTGTTATAAGGAAAACGTCGCTCCTCAACGCGCTCAAGAGGAGGGAGAAGCGAAAGCTCGCCGGTTCCAAGCTGCTGCGACTGGGCGATGACGACACTGGTGAGCCACCCACCGATCACAGGTTTTTCTGTTCCTCTATGCACTAACGCGGCGCGGTCGTATTCGCCAGGCGCTGCTCCGCTGTCTACCGACGGCATCGACATCAACACGTGGCACATGACCATGCCCTGGGGCTCCAGCGCTCCTCAGGTCGAGCTCTCAGCTTGGGACTTTGCGGGTAACACACACAGTGCATCCTTTGCATTCTTCTTCAATACGAATCGGCGTAGCAGCTGACCACGTACTTGGGTGCTCGTGTGGACAGGCCAGGAGATCTACTATGCCACGCATCGGTTCTTCCTCTCCGAGCACTCGCTGTATCTGGCCGTGTTCAACCTCCTCACTTCCGACCAATCGCACATCGACTACTGGTATGTCCGCCGCATCTCTCTTGCTGTGCGGTTGTGTGCGTGTGTGTGTGTGTGTGTGTGTGTGGTTCGTTCACGGACAATCAAACAGGCTGCAGTCCATACGTACGGCCGCCGGAGACTCGCCGGTGCTCATCATCGGCACGCACGCCGAGGACGAACGATGTACCGACGAATACCTGACCCAGACGCACAACCAGTACGAAACTCTTACCCTTTGCTCTTAATCTGGCCAAGCAACACCAACTGACACTCGCCACTCACGCCACGACACATACGAAACGCGCGACAGGTTGGCGCGGCGATACGGCGAGCGATTTCCGAACGTGCTGGGCATCCACTTTGTGAGCTGCACGACGGGCAAGGGCCTGGACCAGCTCCTGACCAACCTCCAGTCCATCATCGCCAAGCAGGAGCACGTGGGCCAGGCCGTGCCGTCCAATTACCTCGAGCTGGAGAAGGTCCTGGCGAGCCAGGCCAAGGAGCGCGTACCGCCCATCGTCGCCTGGAGCGAGTACCGCACGCTGGCGCGGCTGTGCCTCATTGAGCACGAGCACGACCTGCTCACCGCCACCTCGCTCCTCCACAACTTCGGATCGCTCGTGCATTTCCCGAACGACGACAAGGTTCCACATGACCTCCCCCACCGCACGCGCACACCACCGCACACGCACACGCACTCACTATTTTAAAAATACTTGAATTGTTTTATTCCTTTGAAACGCTGCAGCTGAAGGAGGTGGTCATCCTTGAGCCCCAGTGGCTCATGAACGTCATGTCCACCGTCGTCTCCACCAAACACAACTATTGCCGGTACGGCGCCGTCATTTCCCACGCACCGCTTTACACGCATTCCTGGCATTCCTCAACTCGACTCGTGTGGAATGTGCAGGAATGGCGTGATGGCCCATTCGGCGCTGCCCCACATATGGAAGGCGCCGGACTTTCCGTCCGAGGTCCACCCCTTCATTCTCTCGCTGATGGAGCGGTTCGAGCTCTCGTTCCCGGTCGGCGCGCACATCCACAAGCTCGGCGGCTACGCCTCTTCCCTCCGACCCTCGGCCGGCTCCGGCGCCGAGAGCCCGACATCCGCCGACGAGGGCCTCTACCTCATCCCCTCGCTGCTGCCCGAAGCGCGGCCAGCCCAGTTCACCGACCATTGGCCACCGCACACATGTACGTACTCTCGGTGTTGACACACGCGTCACATACCAGCTGCATTCCACACGCGTATATATTTATTAATGCATTCCATACATAGATGTGGGCGAGTCCCTCTTTGGTCGCGTTTACCACTTTGAGTTCATCCCCAAGGTACCGAACCTACGCATGAGTGTATTTGCCAACATACCTTTCAGATATTGATATATCTAACATATTTTCTAACATTGACTGTTTTTCGTGTTTGCTTTCTATGAATTCCAGGGATTCATGGGACGGCTGATCATCCGGCTTCTTGCGTTCCCTCTCGCGGCGCAGCTCTACTGGCGTCACGGCGTGCTGGCCCAGATCGGAAAGTACCTTACGCGCCTTTCACTGACTGTCGAACAGCGAACGTTGGACGTGAGGCTCACTAGTCGTGGTGATGGTTCTTGGGGGCGGCAATCACAATAGGGAGAAAATCCTGCTGGAGCTGATACCGGACAGCCTGCAGCTGCAGATCACGGTGAGGACCGAGCTCAAGGGCGAACAGATGTCGAACCTGTCGTGGCTCATCTTCGCCGCTGTGGACGCCCTCGTCAAGGAGTGGTACAACCTCAACGTACGCCGCATACGCGCCCCCCCTCACAGTCTTGTTTCACTCCGAACCTCTCGGACTTAAAACCTTCTTAACCGGAATGAGCTGTACCACGTCGTGCAGGCCAAGGTGTTGGTGCCGTGCTCGCACTGCATGAGCCTCGGCCTCAAGAGCCCCTTCATGTTCCCGATGGAGAAGTGCCAGCAGGCCGCCACCACGCCCGGCCAATCGATCCTTCTCTGTCCCAAAGGTAATCCCTACACACGAAACAAGCACGCACACGGCACGCACGCACCGCCTGCTCACGCTCTGTGTGCGGTTTGGGCGTGTGCGGTCGTGTGTGTGCGGTCAGGGAGCGACGAGGTGGACGAGCCGAAGCCGGTGCGGCTGGACCGCATCGCGCCGGACCTGGCCATGGTGCATCTGGACCGGCACAAGATCAAGTGGGAGGACCTCCAGAAGGAGGAGGGCAAGCCCATGGGCGAGGGCGGCTTTGCGGCCGTGTACAGAGGTACCTACCTGGGCGAACCGGTGGCCATCAAGGAGCTCAAGAGCGCCGAGATCGACGGCTTCGATACGTTGGGTCTCAACGTCGACGCCGAATCGCGACGGCTCACCTTTGAAGAGTTTCGACACGAAGTCTGGATCATGAGGTGCGGCACACACACATACACACACACACAAGTGTTGCACGCAGGGCCACTGAACGAGATGGTGTGGTGTGCGCAGTGGACTGGCCCATCCCAATCTGGTGGGCTTGAAGGGGTTCTGCATGCAGCCGCCCTGCATCGTGACGGAGCTGGTGGAGGCCGGCTCCCTGTTTGACTTCCTCTCCGATCCCGCCAAGAACAAGGTCCTCGACTGGGCCCTCCGCCTCAAGATCGCCAAAGACATCGGTACGCCCATCGTAGCTCCATACAAACTCGACCGTCATCCCTAACGCACGCACGCACACGACACGACACACGCACGCACGCACACGACACACACGACACACACACGACACACACACGACACACGATGGTTATAGCCAAGGGATGTGCGTTCCTACACAACACATCGCCGCCGGTGATGCACCGTGACCTGAAGAGCCCCAACATCCTGTTGGCGGACCTTACTCCCGAGGCGGCGGTGGTGGCCAAGCTGTGCGACTTTGGCGTCTCGCTCTCCGCCGATACCACAGCCGGCCGCAAAGTCGACTGCCCTGGTACCGCACCGCACACACACACACGCACACACACACGCACACACACGCACGCACACACACACGCACACAACGCGACTCATGGTGATGCGCACAGTGTGGCTTGCTCCGGAGATTCTGGAGAAGAAGCCCTACTCGGAGAAGGCCGACGTCTACTCGCTCGGGGTGATCTTCTGGGAGCTGCTCACCAAGGAGCAGTTCTTCGGCGAAGTCAAGTTCATGGCCCTCCTCGAGGACATGGTACCATACTTGATTATTTATTTACTTATTTACTTGTTTATTGACTTATTCTTTATTTAAGTATTTTAATGCACTGCATTTATTTTACAATTATTTATTTATGTTTTGTAGGTGAAGGAGGGAAAGCGTCCGCCCATTCCGGACTCGTGCATCCCTTCGTACCGTCAGCTCATCGAACAGTGCTGGGCTCAGGACCCGAGTACGCCCAATCGCACACGCTCGGACACGACACGCACACGCACCACCGCACACACATCACCGCACACACATCACCGCACACACGCTAAAATTCGATTCACAGACCAGCGGCCGTCGTGCAAGGAGATCGTGGAGCGGATCGAAGGGATCATCCGGGGCGTGTGCCCGGAGATCGCCAGGTACGACGCCAGCGCCGAGACCGACTTCAAAGCCCGCCGGTCGGCCGAGGCCGCACGGCGACAACAGCGCGAGCAGCGGCTCGACTCCACCAAGAAGGAAAAGTACGACACACATGACACACACACGACACGCGTGAGACACAACAGCTTACGTGGTGTGTGTGTGTGTGTGTGTGTGATAGAATGCGAGCAATGCAGATGGTCAGCATTCGGTCGATGATGTCAGCCGAGCCCAAGAAGAAGCTGCTGACCCAGTCGATCAAGGACATGGCCGTCTCGCGGTGCTCCAAGACCGACATCATCGAGTTCATGGAGGAGTTCCTCAAGCTGCGCAAGGAGAGCCTCCTCCTGGCTGCCGCCGTCAAGGACAACGACGACGCTGACGGCAACTACCACCTTAAGGCCGAGGTCGATAACAACAAGGCCGAGCAGGAGCGGGCGTGGATCGACCACTTCCTGGCGCGGCTCAACGACGACAAGGCCCACGCCATGCCCCCGCCGCCCCTGCGCGTCAGCACCGATGCCGCGCCGGCCCACCATCACCACCAGCCATCGAAGCCGCCCATGGCCAGTGCCACGTCAGCACAGGCAAGTGACACGGCTGGTATCGAGACCAGTGTCAGTGCCGGCGCCACGTCAGCAGAGGCCACGGCCAGCGCTGGTGCCACGTCAGCACAAGACGTGGAGGCGGAGGAGGCGGCGGCAGTGGCGGAGAAGAGAGGGCTGATGGTGAGCCAGGTGCTGCGGGATCGCGTCAACTCGCCCAGCCAACCGCGGGTGCGGAGCTTCCACGCGGCCGCGCCGCCACCCCTTCAACATCGCTCGCGCACCAGCTCCGGGGTACGACACGCATGACACGACACACCGCACACACCGCACACATCGAACACCACACGACACACGACACGACACGCGTTCTGATATCAGTGTGGTGCACGCAGGGCGGCAACGAATGGCGCAAGAGCACCCGAGTCAGCAGCGGTGCGTCGCCGCAGCTGCCGCAGCAGATGACTGAATCTTCGCCCGGCTCCCGCCGCTCGTTCCTCGGCCAGGCCGCCCTCACCTCCTCCGCGCCCTCCCTGCCCACCCACACGCCGCTGGCCTCGCCGTCGTCGCCGTTGCAGCCGCAATCACCGTTGGCGGCGGCGGCGTCGCTGTCGGCCCCGTCGTCGCCGTCGTGGGGTGCGGTACCGGCGGCCCGGGCAAGGCCGGCCAAGAAGGCGGTGGCGGCCAGCGAGCCGTCGTCGTCGGAGGCTGACTCACCGCAGTGGGGCCGCGCGCCCAAGTTCGCCGCAGCCAGCGCCGACGGCGACCGCCAGAGCGAAAAGGAGGCGCGCCGGGAGAAGAAACAGAAGGAGAAGCGAGCGAAGAAGAAGAAAGAGAAAAAGGAGGAGCAGAAGAGGAAGGAGGAAGAAGAAGAGGAGGAGGAGGAGGAGGAACGGGTGCAGAAGGCGAAGAGGAGCGATACGGTGGCGGGCATGCGAAAGACGCTGATCACCATCGAGAAGGATCTGGCCGACGTCCTCGCCGACTTCGAGAAAGAACTCAACAGCTGAGAGACACCTCGGATCTCTCTTTTTGTAACAACACAACACAACACAACTACAAAACTACAATCGGTTCCGCAGGCGCATCGGGCAGGAGCTCCCTGAGGATGCGAATGGGCGGCAGCGCGGCTGAGTCTGAGCCACCGCCGGTTCGACCATACAGCAGGTCCTCGTCGGTGCTGTGGTGGTGTAAGCCACAGCCAAAGAGAGAGAAGAGCGAAAGCGAGAAGAGCGAAAGAAGAAAGGGGTGAGAGCCAGGCGTACAGCCAGTTGAAGAGGGCGGCGCCCGAGGACATGTTGGATCCGAACGGGTTGAGTTCGATGAGGTGGCACGAGTAGTCGGGAAACACCACCACGTCCATCACGTAGCTGGGAAGGGGCAGGCCGTCCTTGATCTCGTCGTGGTACGCAACGATCTCGTCACGCACGCGCTGCGCATGCTCTCTGTCACACAACACACAACACACACACACGACACACGACACACGACACACAACACACACGACACGCACCATTTCAGCCCATCACACACGACACGACACACACGACGCGCACGCACGCATCCAGTTCCGCTCTCACCTGTCTTGGAGGGCTTCAAAGGGGTAGTAGCAGTGGTATTGCGAGATGCCGGTGATGCGCTTGTTGTGCACGAAACACCGGAACTCGTGGTCCTGCGGCATCTTGTCCATCCACTCCCGCAGGATCAGGCACATCTCGCCCGACGACGAACCTGCGCTCACCCACACGTGCGTGGTGACCGGCGTGTGTATGTGCTGTGCGTGCAGTGCGTGTGCGTGTGCGGTGTGTGTCGCACGCGTCGTGGTGCGTGCCGTGAGTGTGTGTCGTGCGGACCTGGTACACGGTATTGGAAGTACATGGAGATGTCCGAGAAGATCCGCTGGCTTTTTGTCAGCAAGTTGATCACCTCTTCGCCATTGTGCACCCGCAGCCCTTCGTTCTGTGATCCATTCGCGTGAGTGTGCGTGTGCGGTTTGTGCGCGTGCGGTTTGTGCGCGTGCGGTTTGTACGTGCGTGTGTGCGTGTGCGGTTTGTGCGTGTGTGCCTGCCGAGACTTCGCACTTTGACAAGGAGCCTCTGCTCGAGAGTCGTGTCTTCGCTGGTGTCGGTCGCCACACTGTCCTTGGGGCTGCGCGTCGACAGCTTACAGAAGTAGGCCTTGCCCTCGCCCCCCATCAACGCCTACCGCATGCCATGGCACACGCCACGTCACACGCCACGTCAGCTCCACCCATGGCCGCCACCTTAAAGGAGTGGTGGAAGCGGTACGGTGATCTTGTCCTCAAGCAGCTCGCGGCCGGTGAGCTCCTTCTGGGTCTCGCGGCCGCCCATGCCCAGATTGCGGGCCAGCACCACGGAGGCCAGGCCCTGCAGCAACTTCAGCTCGTCGTCCGACAGCGCCAGGAAGAGGGTCTTCATTGTGAACCCTGCAACCACACCCTCATGAGTTCCTCCCAGCACGAAACGACACACACCACCGCACACGCACACGCACACGCACACGCGCACACCGCGCGCAGACGCACGACGACACGCACGACACGCACGCTCATGGTACCTTTGTGGTGGGCGCCCTGGGCGGTGGCCTTGGCATCGAGCGGGTGGTACCACTGCTCGAGGTTGTACTTAGTGACCTGGCCCACGTAGAACCGGCGCATGGTGATCTCGAACATCGATCTGTCGACCACCACCCACACCCACCCCTCGCGCTCCTCATCGTCCTGCCCAACGCCATCATTAACACCATCATCACCATCATCACCGTCATCAACAACTTCATCACAACGTCACTGGCTAACGTGTGCGGTGCGTGCGGTGTGTGCGTGTGCGGTGATGCGTGTGCGGTGGTACCTGGAGCGGCAGGTTGAGCGCATGGACGATGTCGCCGATGTAGAGGAGGTGGTCGCGGTGAAACGCGATCTTGACGGGGTGCGGGAAGGGCGGCTGGGTGACGCCGTCTTCGAAGCAGGGCCGTGCCCGGTGCTTGTACAGCAGCGAGAACGTACCAAACCGCTGAAAGCACATGTCGCACTGCGCCACCTGCAAAGGGAATTTTCATATTTTATTTTATTTTTTTATATTTTATATTAATGTTGTTGTTAATAGAAAATAATATATCTCAATATCGAATAAGTAACTAAATACTGATGATAAAGCGCAGCTTTTAAAAACAAAAAATGGGAGTAGTACGCCAGGTTGAACGGCAGAGGGTCGTTCGAGGGGCAGGTTGGTGGAGAGGTCGGTGTAGCGGTAGGGCGACGTGCTGGCCGTTTGCACGTTATTGTTGTTGATCTCGTCCGAGCGCACTTGCACGTACTCCACCCCTCCTTCCATCTTCAGTTCTCTTTTATCCCACACTTCCCTCCTTTACTCTTAAAATTACAAAATAAAAGTCTTTAAACACTTTTATTTTGTAATTTTTCAGTTACTGTCCTGTGGTGAACCGTCACCGCCCAATCACAACCACCATGGTTGTTATCCATCTATTTTTTATGTTTATTTAATTTTTTAAAATTTTTATCTCTTTTTGTGATATAAAAAGGTGCGGCCGGGCGATTTGTTGATGAAGCAGAGTTTACTCTCTGCGTTGGTGAGGAGACAAGCCGAGCGCCTATGCCGGCGCCCAGCCCGTCATGCCTCCATCTTGACGATGGATTCTTGCGAAGTAGTGTCAGCTGATGCTGGGTCCTAACTTCTTGGTGCTACGTCGTCCACAGCGTACGCAGTGAAGTATGCCCATAAGGAGTTGGATATACATGTCAGTATGATTACGAAGTAGCACCGAATCCATCTTTGCAAGCCAGGTGCGCCCCACACCCAGCCAGCAGAGGGCGAGGCGACGCCTTTTTGGGGCCTGGGCGTGGTCGTGCGGAGGCCCATTGTGGGACGGGGCAAGAAAAAAAGCAAAGAAAGACAATTTTAACTGTACAGCGCCATTTCACTGACACGCACGCGGCGAAGTGTGCGTGTCGTGCGGTGGTGCGTGTGCGAGTTGCCTGTGTGCGGTGTCTGGAACAGAGTCGAGTGAATATAAGTTTGTTTGGCTGTCGTGGCTATCTACAACGCGTTGTGTTTGTTTGGGTGGTGGGTGGGTGGGTGGTTGAGGATGATGGTGGTATTCTCACCACACTTCACTTGTCCGTTCGCTGGGCCTGGCTGGAAAGCTGCTCGTTCAGGGCGAGGCACAGGTCGTGCTCGGTCTGCTTGTCTTCGTCGCCCTTGGTACTCGCTATCCGGTCCTTGAGCGTCTGTAGAAGAATGCAACGCATGAGCTCTTCTTCTTCGAACCCACCCAGCACGACACGACACGACACACGCACGCGAAAGACTTACCTCGGGCAGGCCAAGTTCTCTGCAGGCCTCGACGTTGAGCCCGGTGTCTTTGGTGGCCTCGAGGAGGCAGGCGAGCGCCTTCTCGCGCAGGTCGGCGCTGTCCGAGCGGGCCACCATGTCCGCCAGCGGCTTGATGAGCGAGTACTCGCGCACGGCGTGTCGCACGAGCGGCACGACGCGGCACAGGTAGGCGAAGAGGAACACGACCTTCATCTTGGTCGCGGCCGAGAGCTGGTCGCCCTTGGTCGAGGTGAGTAGGTAGGCCAACAGGCGCAGGCCGTTGGCCTTGAGAAAGGCCTCGACGGCCTTCGGGTGGTCGCGAATGAGGCCCGACAGCGCCGGCACGGCCTTGGACAGCACGCGGTCCTCGGTCTCGTTCTGGAGCAGCAGCAGGATCTGGGCGAGGGCGCCCTTCTCCATGGCCTGGGCCTGGCTCGATGGATTGTTCTGAACGGCGGTCGCCACGGCCCAGGCGGCCCAGTAGCGGAGGTTGGCAGAGTCCTTGTCGTTCATGAGCGCCAAAACAGGCTCGAACCCGCCAATCTTGTACAGATCTGCGATTTTATGATTAAATTAGAATGTAAATTTAAATGAATAAAAAGGTGAGAGTGAATAGCGTACCGTTGGCATTGTCGAGATCTTCGATGAGGTACTGCAGCTCCTCGAGGGCGGTGGCCTTGTCTGTCTCCGACGATTCAGAGGATTTGAGCATCTCCACGAGCTTCTTCATGCGATCCGCATCGGTCTGCAGATCGTTCAGGGCCGCGCGCAGCCATTTGTAGTCGGCTTCATCCCGCTGCGGCAGCTGTGTTTCGGTGAGGTTGCCTCCATCGCTGTGTTCCAGACAGAAACGAAGCAAGCCAGCGTCGATTGAGTTCGGATTCATTACTTCTCGAAGTGATGTGCCGGCAATTGGTGTAAAACGAATGGCGGTGGTTTCTTGATCAAGGAAGTGTAGCCCGGGCGTGCAGGACTGTGATGCTTCTCCTACGCGATGTGGCCGATTTGAAATGATTTTCTCACTTCCCTTTTCTTTTCCGCTTTGCGGAATATTCGCCATTTCCTTTCGAGTTTTCAGTGGCACACGAGCTTTTTATTTATTCCATCCACTCATTTAATTGGGTGTTGGCTCCAGAGCTGGCCAGCTCGGCGGTGTACCTCGCCTTGTCCGCTGCGGCCATGGCTTCATAGCGCTGGAGTGGGGCGAACAGAAGTCAGTGAGATAAATACAAACATTTCAAGATCGAGAGGCACTAATAACGCTCTCTGCGCTTGTGGCATGTCTTTCCAGGCCTCGCCCATGAGCTTGAGGATGTCGGTCATGCCCGCGTCGGGATTCTGCGCCTTGAAGGTTTCCCTCTCCTCCTGGCAGAAGCACAAGTACGAGCTGAGCGGCTTCTTCACTTTCTC